ATTTTTCATAATATTAGCAATAAAATGCAGCCTTTTTGGTTTAATTTAATACTTTATTGTGCCCTGAAATTCCTGTATTTTTGTAGAAAATATTATCTTATTTATCCTGTATGATTTTGGGCATTGCTGAGAGGTCTCTATTAATGAAATTAAATGAAATAGGTTTTAAATTTTTATAACAATTTTCACCTTAATATAAACTTTACTGTAAAAGAACAGTGTGATTTACAACTTTTTTCTTTGTATACCAAGATTATTAGTAAAGGGTGTTTTTTGATATTGATTGGTATCATAAAAGTTCTTTCACTAATTTATTCATCTATTACACTTTCTCTCATCAAAGATGTAAACACTTTTTAGACCAGTTTTGCATGTTGATTCCAAATTTGTTTTTGGTTTTTTCTAGCATATCTAGTTATTGAAATAAGACTGGTGTTAATTTCAGCATAATTTAGGTAATCAACTTAATGTTACAACTTTATTCATTTGTCAGTATAATTCTCGTTAATGCTATACATACCATACACTTGGTCAAATTTATACAGTACATATTTATGAAAAAATAAATGTACAACAACTTAAAAACGTTGTGAGTACAATTTTCGTTTGTAAACTTTGTCTGGATTGATTAGTCTCATCATGAAAATTTGACATGCTAGAGGAAAATCAGAAACAGATTTGGAATTAGTGTCCCAAGAGCTATCTAGCCTACCTATAATTATATCTGATGAAAATAACTTGTTGGCCAGTGTTTTGAACACTCTACTGGTGAAAAAAAGAATGGGATTCATATCTTAATATGTAGATATTATGAATTATCAAATACACCTCATTTGTCACATGATAAACTTAAGAGTTAAACAGTTTTTGTTAAAGAGTGACTTTCCTTCATATGTGGTAAATGATTATATTTCATGGCACCTGTATGAAGTTAAGTTCAATGAAGAGAAACAACTATTCTGATACGATACCTTCCTCCACTTACATAATAGCTTGTGCTGCCATCAATATGCACAATTTTTGCTTGCCACCGGTCTTAAGGCTCTCATCTAACATCACATATTTACACATGATATAGCTGCAGTGTGACACATCCTCTAGCACAGCTGACTCTTTCTATACTGTAAAGCACAATCATCCTTTCTCAGTTTGACACTTGTGGGTACAATGTTTCATTTTTCACTCATGAACATTTCAGATATAGGCATTTTTCTGTGGAAATATATACAAAGCCATTGTTTCACAAATATAAGTAACTTCCACTTTGTCTGGTGGGAAACAACAGGACTTTATTCATGCTAACCTACCAACTACATTGGCATTGTGTTTATCTGTTGGAAAAGGTGAGAGCTTTTGTTCTTTTGGGTGATGGAGTCTTTCATGTGGCCTCAACCTTTTTTTGTCCCTGACATATCTCTGCCTATGATTCTTGTTCTTGACAGAAGAGATTTTGCCAGTTTTTTCACACCTAATTTTGTCTCATCTTATACCCATATGGTTTTGATATCTCAGTCTTTTTTTTAGTGATGTTGTGATGTCAGGTATGTTTTTACATATTCAATTATTTTTCCCACTACTTTGAAGCTTACATGCTTCACCCTCCTTCCTTTATTATCTCATACAACTAGGTATGATTTTGTGCTGTATTGCTCTTCTTTGACTCCCAAGTTTTAGAGTCTTTTTTTCAAACTTTGGGGTCACATTACCTATCTTTTGTTTGTCTTTTTGAGGCTTAAGTTTTCCTACCTTCATCTTACACACACTACTCTTTTCCATTATTTTTTCTTTAACCTTCTTTCTGTGTTAATCCACCATTCCCCTGTGGGGTTTTCAACAGCTGCTCATTCACTTATCTCTTCTACAGAAGTGTGTTCATCTTCCTTAGCATTTTCACGTCTTATTTTGTTGATCTATTGCTAGAGTTGTTGGGGCATGATGCCCTTGTAACTCAATTGCTTTTGCTTCTCTTATATCTGCTATGCCTTTTTCTGGCTCCTTTATGATTTTACTGGTATATTTATTTCTGTGGTGTCATATGTTTGGGCCACATGCCAGTGATTTTGCTTTGTCCTCACTGTTTTACCATCTATTTCATGCTCCTTCTTTGCCAGTCTCTGTCTCCTTTTCTCTGTCTGTCACCACTTCCCATTTGTCATTCCACTACTCGTAGACTTCAGTGCTGTCAGTCTTGGCAGTGACTGTCCTATAATTTTGGGTTAGTGTAAATACAGATCAAAGTTTTCAAAATTTCTTAGCACCTGGTACATGGATGGTACAGATCTAACATGGAAATATTTTTCCAAAGTTTTAATGTATAATAGTTTGTTGTTTGAATTCATTAATATTTGTCATGTCATTTATTGTCTCTGGACAGAAAAAAATAACTCGGTAAGACTACTTTTTATTATCCCAGCTGTTTTGATGTAACTCACAATAAAAGTTTGAGAAGTAAGCCACACTGTTTTGGATTTTTTTATGATAGTGTTTTCATTATTTAATTTCCTCTGTGACATTGTTATGTGTTCTTTGTAGCACATACTAGTTTATGTGAGGCTGTACTCAGAGTACTTAAATAAGCAATATCCTAATAGTGTTATGAGAATTAACATATGTGGTTTATTTGTAATTTTTTGGCAGTCCTTTATTGCAGATATTTGATAAGAAGTATTTCCTAATACTAAGCAAAGAAGAATGTTGGGAAAGGAGAAGGTAAGAGTTTTGGTAAAGCATAAGTTTTGAGAAGCTTAATGTGAGATAGATTAATGTTGTTATGATAATTCAATGGAACTTTTACTTCTGGATTTTGATTTAGGGTCAGTAATAAGAAAACTGTGTTGTGAGTGAAACACTTCTTCCCTAATATCAGCCTTAATACTGTACATATAGGTGAGCATAGTTATTATTCAGAATTTTACTTTTGTCTGAGCTTATCGGTGTTCAATTATATTATTTAAAATTTCATCATAGGTAGACAAGTAAGTTCATATGGTGTTTGACTAGAAAAAGCTAATCAAGGAAGTTCAAGTGATTTTAATTAAACAGGCCTGCAATGGTTTTATTAAATTGAAATTTTTATATGTTCTACTGTAATTCCTGTATGCTGAATCCGAAAATGATATCAATTTTTCTCCATCACATACACATTCTTCACAAAATGTCATAATTCAATACATAAAAGAAATGCCACAACACGTAGTTTTGAGACTAAAAGATGAAGATTTCACACAAAAAGTGAGGATGCATATTCATTTGACATCAATGTTCTTCCCTTTTCTTCAGTTTGTTTGTATTTGTGTTAACAAACATAATATTAAAAATTTTTTATTGTGGTAAAAAAATAATAATTTGGTCTAAATAAGAGTTGTTTTTTCTCGATTTGTAAAAAATCCTTACATAATAGAAAAAAATGAATATTATTTTCGAAATCTGCATAGCTGAATTATGGAAAATCCATTATTAAAATCAAAACAACTTTTATGAAGTTTAAATTCATAGGCCTGTATTATTACTTTATTTCAGGCATGTGTGCTAGGTAACTTCAAGCAGAGAAATGTATGTGAATCTCTAGAAATATTAAAAAGGAAGTCTTATTATCAATTTATATGAGATCAGGATGAAATCCATTATGAAGGAGATTTTTTTTTTATTAACATAATATTATTTAATACTCAGGATCTCAATGACATAGTTGTTTTTTTCATGGATAAAATATCTTGTTTTACACTCAGTTGATACTTCCTGTAATGGTATACTGGGCATGTAAAGCATTAATAAAGCTAGAAATTGAAACTTGAGGGTGCCAAATGAATTCTGGAGCTGCAAGTTATGATATTTTAATAAGTCTACAATGTAATGGTATGAATCTTTCTTGCTTGCTCCAGTCTTTATACCCCATTCTATTGCCCGTACAAATTTAAATCTTGTGGTTCTCTCCATCTACATCAATGTGCCCCCTATACTAGATCCATATATAAGCTCCCTGATATTACTTCCCTATCACTTTCCACGAGGGCAGAATGTTATGACAACAATACTGTGCTCACTGCGGGTTTCTCTTCATGTTGTATAACTTTACTTATATCTACGTTTTGGACAATTTTCTTTTTTACCTGTCTTATTGGGTTTTGAGTTTATTTTTTATTTTCAACAACAAAAGAAAATCCTGAGATGTTTTGGATATGAATTCTCACATACACATATCTTACATGGAATCTCCTATATTACAAAAACACATAATCCCATTTTTTTTATATATTATTATGAGGATGAGGAGGAGAATGCAGTTTTTGAGTCAGGTATAGTGTCTTATGAGGTTGCTTTGCTCCACTTGTTTTCACATTAATTTATCTCTTTGAATCTACTCTGGTTCTAGATTCCCATCAACACTATTTCATCACGTTTTAAGTTATTATGGTCTAGGTTGTTACATTCCTACTGAGAACCCAAATTTTGGTGAACCAGTAGTCTTTATAACTCCATCTGGTTCTCTAATCCATCTTAATATAAGTACTCTCACTTTTTGTACCTAAGTCTGCCTATTTTAAATTTTATATATGTTTTGAAATGAATTTCATAAAGATACTTCTGAAATACATTCCCATCCACCTCCTCACAACTGTGTTTTCCATTGTGACTACAATTACAACATCTGGATTATGTTTGGAAAGCAGACATAATTATATATATATCTCCTCCTGATGCAAGCACAATAAGTTATGTGAGAGAGTAGACAACTATGGATAAGTTAAGTCACACTCTGTAATGTGTAAAACACATTCAATTTTTAGTCACATAAAAGCAACTTAACAAGGAAAGTCTTTTTGTATTTTACATTTAAGAATTTCTACAAAGCTAGTTAAAATGTAAAACAAGTCTTATCATGTAGGCCTGACTATATCAGGTCATTGTGACTGTTTTTAATAAATATTGTTTTTTCTAAGTTTGGTATTTTCTACAGTGGATAAAGTAAGATAAAACAAATGCTTATATGATTGTTTAAGGGTTCGAATGTACAGTCCACCTGACCCTCCTGGTTATTTTGATATGTGTGTCTGGCCAATGTATTTGAAGAACAAGAAAGAAATTGAAGAAAATGTGATGGGCATAGGTATGTGGTTTAGTTCAGTTTGGATTGTATTAAAATTTTTGTTGTTAAGGTTGATCAACTAATATCACTGTTTTTAATGATAATGTAGTAACAGTATGAAATAGACCTGCTAGTTACATCAAAGATGCTGAAAATCTGTATCTTATATGCATTATAAGTTTTATAAAGATATATGTTATAGAATATGTTGTAAATATGAGTAACTATTTGTAAATGTATGATTGTCAACTTCAACAGATTTACCTAACCAGTATTAATTTACTGTGCTTTTCCATACATATTGAAAAACAAAGTGTAATGACAAAGAAATTTATTTGTGGGTAAATTTTCAAGAGCCATTTGTTAACACATTTCCTTATGTCTTTTATATCATTTGGATCATAATGACCGAGAAGTAAATAAAAGACTTTACATAATAAAAAATCATAAGTTTTGTCAACGATTGATATTTCTTGTGAGTAAAGAATGGGAAAGCCATTATTTCAACATGCACAAAATTATCTATTTATGTCTGCAAATGAAGGTGCTGTATATCAAATTCTTCAACAAACTTAATAGACACAACAACACATTTTTTTTCTGTTCTGACCTGTTTCCCTTAATAATAGTAAAAGTTTATCTTGTCAATACTATTATTTATTTTAATGTTATGCTTGAGCATGTTGTTTGTAAGAAAATGTTATTTCAACATTGTATTTATACACTTCTAGATTTTCTTTTCATTTTCACCTAGCATCAAACAGGGTTTATCTGTTACATTCAAACAGTCCTCCAGTGGGACAGCGTAAGTCTATATATTTACACTGCTAAAATAGCCCGATGTGGTTTTGCTATAAAAACACATACACATAGATTTGAGCGAGGGCCAAATGTTGTTTTAATTTTATTAACATCACACTAGGCCATATTCTCCAATACAAGATGTGAGATGTACTTTATGTAAATAAGAATCCCAGTTCTGACTGATCACAAAATTATAATGAAAAGCATGATTTTAACATGACATCCATTGTTCATTCTTGAATAGTACCAACTGGAATTTATTTACCCTAAGACGTTAAGAAAACACATACATAACTGCATAAATGAGTATTTATGTGCAAGATTTCTTTGTGTAATGCATTTGACCCTCTTATAAATGCTCCTGTACTTTTGAAAAATATTTCAATAAGCATTTTGTATCTTTTTTTTACAAACATAATAAATGTTATGTTTTCTTAATGAAAACCCTGTAAAAACATCTTAAATAGTCTATTTTTTGTTAATATTCACTATATTGTTTTGCTTCATTATTCTCACAGATGTTTCTTGACATTTGATTCCTATTCAAGTAGTATTATTTAGATTTTCTAGCATATTATGATGTATTATTTGAAGATTATTTCTTTTAAAACTATTTGAATACTCAAAACTGAGGACTTGGCATTACAGTAAATAATGAAGAAATTTTAGTTTCATTCAAATTTTCAATATAGATTTGTTTTCACAAATAATGCTGGAAAAAGTCAACATGTTTAAATAGAATCAAAATCATTATAAAATTAACTTTTAGATAGATGTTTCAAACAAGTTAATATTATCTTATAGTGAAATGAGTCAAGTTGGAATATCTTTTAATAATATTCTTATTGGTAAATGCAAAAGTATTTTTTGTATAGAACAGCACCCTCTTTGGACAAAATGTAAACATATATTTTGTTTCTGTTGAACCCATTAACTTGAACATGATGTCAAATAATTCAGTTTTTTCAATGTATTTGAATGAGATATTACTTTCGTACTAACTGATAATAACTTTTGGTCACTTATTTTGCCAGTCCTCCTTAACAGTCAGCTTGTTTATGTGCAAAATATAATTTCTTACATTGTTGATGGGGGAGGCCGGGAAATATATTTTTAATTTATGATTATCACCATAGTATAGAGTCCAAAGTTGATTCACTGTTATGCTAGAAATTATCCCAAAGTACTCAAAGGTTTTTAAACTGTTGCAGTTATTTGTTATTGATCCATACACAAAACAGAATTGTTATTTATGTTAGAGTTTAACTTGAATTTTTTTTTTTTTTTTCTAGTAATTTTTGATGGAGCAGAAGAAACAATTTCTATCCTTGAGAAAATTCTAGATGATATTGGAGTAAAGCAAGATACTTGAAATTACTTCTTCTATATAAAAACCACATCTGTTTTACTGCAATAAGTTAAACTTGTGTTTTACACCAATACTCATGAAGCATAGTATTTTAAGTGTAATTGTATACTTTTTTAATACTCATACACAATGACTAAAAAAATTAATAAACTAAAAATTATTTAGTCCTTATGAAAATGATTTCTTACAGTTTCAGAAAGTTAAGTGCAATTAATTATAATATGTTTTCAGAACCTTAGGAACTATTTCCCATGTTTTTCATTGTGCTAAAAGTCCAATGGTCATACTTGTACATTATTGTTTGACACTACAATTTCCATTGTTAAAACTTATGTGAAGGATGGTGAAGTCAGTCTTGAACTATACATGTCAACAAGATCCTCCACTGTACTAGAACATTCTATTTCAAATCATATTTAAACAGACCAAAGGCACAAAACTTCATTCAAGTTGCATCAAATGGATTTGATGGGTATGTGGTCAAATGGGATTGCTGTGATTCTTACTTTTAGGGACATATCAGAATGGTTGTTAAATTCCAGGTGTGCCTGAAAGCTTATGAATCTTTATTAGTGACATAAAATTGATAACCATTTTGTTAACAGTACCAGCAGATATTCTTAGTTTCATTGAAATGGTTTTCTTGAAATAGAAGGTTTCCTTTTGCAACTGTAGCTTTCACTCTACGGGTGAAGATTTTGCTTGAAAATATGCTTGTATTGGGGGTTTCTGAACCTATTATTACTCATAACACCCTTCTGTGTTAGTGCTTTTCACTTCCATAAAAGTTCCCATCTTTAAAACCTTTATTTTCATTTTTTGCGACTTCAGAACCTTGTTAGATGACTATTCTTTCTCATAAAGGGCTGCAACTTATTCCTGTAGCCATCAGTCTGCTTGTTTCAAATGGTCCCAAATTATGTCCTCAAGAAATTAATGTTGCTTTTTCTTAGATGAAAATACCCGAACAACTTATATATCGAAACAAACCATTCATTAAATGAAATAGTCTCCATTCTTATCGATGATGCTTTTCCATATTACAATCAGGTTGTTGATTCCGTGATTAAAGAAATCACTTGGCTTTGAAGCAAAAGACATGTCGATGTCCTCTTTAACACCTTCCACATTTGCATATGTTTTCACATTAAGATGGTGTTGCAGCAAATGAAAAAGATGGTAATCTGATGGTGCCGTATCTGGAGAATATGGTGGGTGGGGGAGAACTTCCCAACCCAACTTCATAATCTTGTGTTGTGTCGCACGTGCCAAATGTGGACGTGCATTGTTGTGGAGACGAAGAACACTTTTTTGATTGACAAATGAAGGGCATTTCTGATGAAGGGTTTGATTTAAACATTCCAGTTGCTGACTATATATCTCTGCCTTGACAGTTCGCTGTGGATTGAGGAGTTTGAAATGAATTACTCCTTTGATGTCCTACCAAATGCAAAGCATCACTTTCTGTGGATGGAGTCCAGGATTTGGGTCGGAAGTGATATTTGTCTAGGACTGAGCCATTGTTTTTGTCATTTAATATTCACATAGAGAATCCATTTTTCATCTGCGGTGACAATTCTGTCCAAAAATGGTTCACTTGCATTATGCAGCAGAAGAGATGAAGCAACGTTCACACATTGGAAACTATAATTATCGAAGAGTTTGTTAGGCACCCAAATACTTTCTTTAAGGAGTTTTCCCATATTCCTTAGATGTTTACTTATTGTTTCATAAAAGACATGCAATTTCAGGGCCATTTCACGAGTGTGTGTTGCCTTTGGTTAGACTCACCAAGTGTCTTCAGAGCATCAGTATCAATTCCAACATGTCAGCCCCTGCCATCACAGTTTTTAAGGCTAAAGTCACCTGAACGAAATTTGCTGAACCACTGTTGACACTTATGAACATTCG